TTGAAAAGATAAAAATTTTCATCTATTAAAACTGCTAACGTTCCAGCAATGACTTAAAGAGTCCGTTCCTCCTGTCTTTGGGGGTAAAATTACAGTAAAGTTAATAAAGTCGAAAGTGGGGAGCTTGAGGAGGCTTTGATCTCCCTTCAGGTGGATGATGCCTAGGCCTGTCGGACGTTGAAGGATCGTAATCTCTTTTGAATAATCAGGTGGTAGAGAAATTGCTTCTACGTCTGGCAGGCCATCGTTGACACGATGGCAGTGGGATAATGAAAGCTCACTAATATTACTCTTAACAGCTTAATCATTATCAATCTCTATAGGGGAGAGGGGGTTATTGAGGGTAATATTCACTATTATAGGAACTTTGGTCAAACTCCGTTTTGGTAGTTCATTCTATAAATGATATTTGTATAAAATATAGGACAAAATAACTCCCAGGAGCGACGTCGGCTGCGGAGTCTTGGTAAATCTTGTAGCCATGTGCAATTTTGTGGGTCCATGTCTAGTCACCAGTTTAGGACAACCATACTTATCACAGTACCACGTATACCAAAATAGTATCCTTTTGTCCAACGATCACCGCCGTCACCACCATGTCTATTCTACTCAGCCATGCATAGTTCGAAGACCAGCACCATATTTTGTCTTTATAAACATAATTAACAACTTTAATAATTAAAAAAAGGATTGAAGAAATAAAACCAAATAAAATACATGGGTGACTTTAATTATTCTAAAAAACACAAAATTAAAATTAGAAGAAATTGTATAGAATGTAAAAAATAAGATAAAAAGAAAATGAAACGCATCTGGGATAGTATCCACACTATCATAAAACCATGCTCCCGTTCTTACTAGGAAAGAAAACTTTAACAAAAATAAACAGACAAATAATATGATGTCTAATGGCACGCCTGCAGATAGTGCTATAATGTACAGTTACTGGCAGATCTGCGCCCACTAAGAATAATAATTCCATTAACTTCATTCAGAATGTTACATTCAGGATTAAGTTATGCAAATCAATTACAAATAATGTTATGCACTAAAAGGCCCTTATTTTCTTTTTTGGGTTACATGGCATTTTTAATAGAAGAATTCCATCTACTGAGTCTCAAACTTTGCCTTTGAAACAATTGTTACCGTAGAGTAAACACAAATAACCATCATTAAATCTTACAAGATTGAACAAATATAATTGTACAGAGACATTACAACAGCTCAACCATTTTAACCCCTTAAGGAACACAGAGAAAAGTTAATATTACTATATTACAATACAATCAGTGTGCATTAAAATGCAGCCCAGTTTTCCCCTGCATTCAAGGTTATCTCCATTGTAACATCCCCCCATTAAAATAACACTATTTATATTACTAGGTTGCGCTATCACAAATTTGATAGAGGAAAAGAGAGCCTATGATCACTACAAATATTACCTACAGAGAGATGTGCTTGTAAAACAACTTCCATCCGTTCATATGCAAACAAGCATTGACCAAGCGGGAGAGACACATGGGGTAGGATGGGCAATCAAAGAAAACGGATATAAACAAAAGAAAGTGGCTATAACTACAGAAAGTGGGAACAGGATCCCTGGCAACACGAAGTGTGTCGGCTTGACGTACAGTATTAATAGCGAGATAACCGAGGGTGGAGGTAGTAGTGGGGTGGGTACAGAGTCAGTATAGAATAAAATACCCTGTAAAAATGGTCCCCACGTAAGGGGGGACATGCGTACTTAACCAAGTGTCATGGATACTGGAGGTCATAGCTAGACCCTGTACCACCCACCTCTTTTGTAATAAAAAAAAAATCCTGGGTCTGTTGTGCTCATTGAGAAAGATCCTTCCACCAATTAACATGTTATATCTAAGCTTAATCTTACTCAGCCTACTTTGTACTACACTCCACTACCGTAGTAGGGGCAACGAAACCATTTGAAATCTTTCTCAACAGGCTAAAGGAGACTGTTTTTTTGCCCCCTTTTTACATAACGGAAACTTGTGGAATAACGGTAAACTTGGTACTAAAATGCAACATCTGGATAACAAATGATAACCAACCAGGAACACGAATGCAGCACCATAGCAAATATTTTTTTAGATTAACACACTCAGGTTACTCAGCAGCGTGCACGTGATGCACACTTGCCTACACTCACTCCTGCATTATTTACATTTCGGGTCCTCCTGGGCAGCTACTTTAACCAATCCATGATACAAACGATAGACTGAAAGCCCAGTTATCCTAAATTCGCGCTTATGAAGGCGATTATCATTTTTCCATATTTGGCATCAGATGCCCTTGTCACTTCCGCACCGGAACACACAACAACTGCGTGTGATCACAGGGGCCCCGGGCGGCCTCCTCCAGCAACTCCAGCGCCCGGCACCGCCCGCAATCTCCACCCTCCTGCACCTTCAGCGGTGTTCTAGACCACCCAGGGGCTGGATGGTGGATTAGACCACTTCGGGGCTAACTTTACACAATTTAGACAGCGTTACACACTGTAAAGAGCATGAGGTGGCCTGAAGCTTGCAACTAGAACCCGCAGCCTCCCCACAGCGGCTTGACGCGCACCATTAGGGTGAGTTGAACATTACTCCCTCCGGACTAGCGGGCAGTGCATCCTACTGGCCTTCTTACTCTGCTTATTAATATCACACCTTTCAAAGCGCCTCGTTAATTTCCCAATTAAACTGTGTCAATAACAAAAATACAAATATAACGACTTTAAACATCAAAAATAACGCTCTCAAGCAAAATTACATAAATCTTCGAGGGAAATGTTAATGAATGAACGGACCCAAAGCTGGATACACAAACGTCACCTAGGAGCCGCACCGGGGCAATTGAGACGCTGAGGAAGATTATCCTTATCCAGGCCAGACTGCCAAGATCGTGTGGCCAGGTTATCAAAACCATGGCCAGGCCGCCAAGACTGAGGATAGCTATAAGCGAGGACAAGAGACAAGAAACGTACAGAGAGAGAGGAAATGAATGAAAAGAATAACAATGAACAGGGAAGAAAACGGACAAGTACAAAGGGATTTGCGGAAACAAAAATAACTTGGCCAGGAACGGCAAAGAGAACTGAATAAAAAAGGGCTGAACTTACTGAGTTTACATCAATTATGATACTCTTTTACCCAACAAAAATCTCATGGGGATTCAGTAAGCCATGCACGCAGCTTTCAGCCATACTGCGAGGACGTGCGGGTGAGCCTTGCCCGTCCAGAGCCTTAGTGTGGACACCAGGTGACACTAGATCAACACTTGCCATAACTGAGGACATATTCTTAAATTTTGACACGGAAAAAATTGAGAATCAAACTCAACATTGACGCAGGTCAGGACTTAGACCTCTATACACGACGTCTATCCTGACAAACATTAGTTATAGCACTTGCATTTGTCATCGTACTCAAGGAGTTAAACTTAACAGCACAGAGACTGGAGAGCAAACTCGAGTCGCTGGATGCTAAAACAGGGACTTTCTAATCAATTGTCTTCCTGCGTGAATACACTCTAGGCTCTGGACCTTCAGCAATATTGAGGCTTCCCGAGAAGAGGAATTTTCGTGGAAAGCACAACCGTTTATCCATGCTGAGGTTCCTTCCGATTGGTTAACACTACTCGAACGAGTATGTGTTTCCAATCCACTAGAAATCCCATCAGCGAGAATAAAACTGGCCATGACGAACACGAGAGCTCCACTTTAGTGTGACTTTTATGAGCCGTTTATAACAGTCAACACTTGAATTAACAATAACACAAACATCTGTTAACGTGCCAAACGAACAAGTAGCTATGTTGAGCAAACATATTTTGATGTATAGTTTCACTTACAGTAATATCATCTGGGGAGGTTGGACTTCACTGCGGCTACTGTACAAAATATCACTCATCACTGACAATCTGAGGGCCGTATTGAAGATCCGGGAGGCTGTCAGAGGGTGATTATTGTAGTCAACGTGCCGTGGCTAACATAATTTTCTTTACTTTTTTAAAAACTTTAAAGTACAAAGTCACAAAGTTTTATCACTGAAATCCCTTCAAATTGATGTAAAAGCTCGGAAACCTTAAGTAAAACAGCCCAATCTTACAGCGCGCATCAATAATGCGGCCCCAAGTATGCAATGCTTACCGTGCGTGGCAGTAAGCAGGAGTAGAATTTCCAGACTTTCTAAACTCATTCATTCATCCATTCGAACAACTCTTTTACCTCCTTTGTCTATGAACATCACGTTTTTCATATTATATACGACAGAAGATGTTGCTACATTCTATTATCCATGCAAATATATAGAAAACGAACCAACATTATCCTATTATTTCACTCCCTATATTCGTAAGTACAAAAGGAAACAGAGTAACGAGTCGTATTAGCTATGTACCCTACTAAGTACTTTTCATAACCTTCTACCCATGCATAATACAGAACTTTTGCAGCATACAAAAGTAGTGTCCTTAGAGACTGAAGTCAAAGTGTAAAGTACCTGTAAATGTTGGCGGAAGAATGTAGATTATAGACAAGTGCTGAATACTGTAACATGTGGAGTTTTGATGCTTGGCCCCTGATTGCCTTTACAAAGTCGACTCAAGTGAGGTCTGAGAATTGAGGGTCATAACAGGTGAACCCCTGGCAGGATTCACAGCAAATCTACAGTCTTCCGAATGTCAAGCCGTTAAACTGGCTTCATACATTGGTTTTGTCAAAAACAATAGACTTACAGTATCTAAAGTGAATCTTTAAAAAACACACATTATTTTCGAGTCTGCCAGAAGCTCTTCTTAAGACCCATATGTTTCATAATGGGAAACCTGCAACTACAAGAGACTTCAGACTTTATCTGATACACACACAAGACATAACGTAGAAATAATCGTATACTTCCTGGATGGAGGAGGTTAGTACTGCCCGCGAGCAGGCTGGGCAGTCTTGCGTGGGCAACGAGGTTTAGGGTGTAGGAGTCCTTATCCAAACACTGGGGGACTCGGGGAGACCTTGCCAGACGCCAGGGCCAAGAGACCCGAGGACAGGGGGCCAACTGGCACAAACTTTGTAAGGTATCGAAAACAATGTCATCTGGAACCGTCTATTCTTAGAGGTAGGATATACTGAAGAAAGATACTGGCGTCCTGGCATGTTCAGTGAAGTTATTGATGTGACTCTTTCCACAAGGAAAATGTTTCCTTTGGAAATTAATGAATTTGTAAAAGAATAGCTGAGTTAACAGCCATCACTGAGCAAGTTAGGACGCTTGGTAGAAACAAGTAAAGTAGTGACATGATTAAGGAAACAGAAAGATGAAAAATACAATATTTTCGTAGAAAATCCCGTATACAGTTGAAAATAAAAGAAGTGATGTTTTGTGCTACGGTCAAAGTAAAATTCTGTTTGGAGGAACCTATGGGTTTCGATGGATGGTGGAAGGCACCATAACTAGTAACAGTATTGCTTGTTTAGCTATCACGATATCGGAGAGTTGCTCACTTTAACAGTGAAGAGGAACGTGAACTGTATTCTGGTGGGTTTGTACGGGACAGCATTGGCTGCTGTTTGTTGCTGTTGATGCTGTTGGTGCTACATGTGGGCGTCCAGAGCTCCACTACCACCACCTCGCCTCAACTCCACTCGTCCCCTTTCCTCTCCAGTCCCTCACACCTCCACAACCGTACCGGCCAGTCCTTAACAGTAGCAATCTTTACAAACATACGTGAGAAGCAGTTCCTGCGACACGAGTGTCCTCTTGCGTTTAGTGTGGTTATTGCACATTTACACTAACGTTTCCCTGCTAAGCGAGCGTTCCTTAGAGTCAGCCGACTTGTCTTACAGACCTCGTCCAGCTATCACCGGGCACGTATCACAACTCGTCACTGGGCTCTCACTGGGAGTGGTGGCCACAGCTGCTACTGCTGCTGCCAGGCGGCGCCCTCTCCCGTGCCCCTGCCCCGTGCCATCAATACCCTGTATTCAGCCCCTCCTACCGGCTCGGTCCACACACTGCGGCCCCAGCACCGTAGGGAAGCGCCTGAGTCGCGGGTCGCCGTACACGGCCCACTCCCAGTCGACATCGGGGCCTGGATGTGGCCTGCGGTCCACTCGACGCACTATTGAGTAACACCCTTGTCCTTAAGGAGCAAGTCGGAGCTCATAGTGGGTTGGTGGGCGTAGTTACGAATCTGATGGAGCGAGATGAGCTGGTTGGGGAACTGATTGGGCTTTACGTCCATGGAGGGCATTTGTGTGTGCGTCTTGGGGAAGCTGATGGGCTCGTATGGGAAGTAACGCTGCGAAGATGACGCCGCCATGGACAATTGTGTCCCCCCACTGATGGGCAACATACTGGTCTGGATCGGCGTAAATGCCGACGACGTCTTTGTGGCAATGGCGTCGTAGGACATGTTGGAAGCAGGCATGTGGGCAGGAGTGTGGCGCAGTTCCTCAGCACGTGGGTCGAGGTGCTCGCGAGAGACCAAATGGCGCGTTGGGTCGAGGGAGTTCTGGAGACACGTCTCTGACATGCGGCCGTCCATGGAGTCCAGGGCAGTGGTGTCTGGCTTGGGCCAGTAAGGGTTATCCTGCCGTAGTCCATGGCCTGAGAGTGAAGGCCGCTTGTCAGGTCGTTCAGCATGCTTCTGCATGTGCTTCTGCAGGTACGTCTCCTGGGTGTAGCTCTTGCCGCAGTATTGACAAATATGAGTCTTGAGGTGCTTGCTCTCCTTGTGTTTGGGAATGTGCTCCAAGAGTGAAGCTTCGTCCACAAAGCACTTGTAGCACGAATTACACTTATAGGGCTTATCCGTCTGGTGACACCGAGAATGGCTCTGCAAGTTGGATAGCTGGCTGAAGGCCTTGTTGCACCCTGGGTGGCGGCATTTGTAGGGCTTGTCTCCCGTGTGAGTGCGGATGTGTTGTTGCAGATGGGATAGCTGCGTAAATTTGCGTTGACAAATTTCACAGCGGTAGGGTTTGATGCCCAAGTGGATTCGTGTGTGCTGAGACAGGTATGAAGAGTTGGCGAAGGCTTTGGAACACTGAGAACACTTGTAAGGCTTGGCCTCCCGCATGTGAATTTGAGTGTGGAGCTGCAGGTCAGCCTTACTCCCGAAGATCTGGAAAAAAGAAACAATCTGTTAGAAAGATGTTGCAGAGTAGCTACTTTAGGTGCAATAACTGTGTGTGTGTGTGTGTGTGTGTTCACAGAGATGAGTTAATAAGAATAAGTAAATTAAAATGTAATGTCTCTACCGCCCTACATATTACACAGTTTGTCACCAAAAAATCAATCACTCAGCATTATTATTCTACAGGTAACCCCTCCAGCGGCCTATAAGCAGCAGGTGTTGTGGCTGCCAGCAATTGAGTCCCGTGGGGCAGGAGTCAACGAAGCATAAATTACCACAGAGGGGTCTCTAATTTGTCCCTAGGGAGCGTACCATTACCACTCCTGTTTACAAATTAAAAATACCCTAATATTTACCTTAAAGAATGGCCCCATAAACGCTAAACGCCCGCTTTGTAATGTTATGACTGTAATTACCTACAATGAAACCATTTATATGCTGAACGGCCGCCGAGCCGCTGTGTGTAACAGGCAGGGGTTACACACACACACCTCCGCCGCCGCGCCCATCTATTACCTGGTCCGAGAACACCTCGCTACTCCAACTCAACCCGCCCCACCGCCAATTAAACACGGCGTAACTCTGGTGCGTTAGCTATGATTGGTGCAAAAGTGATGCCGCAAATTAGGCAGGTTAAGATGTGTGTGCGTGTGTTGTGTCTGTGCGTGTTACTACTTGAGGGACTTACAAGAACCTACGTAAGCAGTTAATTTAAGTAAACATTGAGATGTTATCAAGCAGACCAGACTCTAATACACAGAGACCGAAGCATACACAGCAGACCTGATCAAGCAGATGAGATGAGGAGGTAGGCTAGACCTGAGCAGATACTGTAGGCCTAAGCAGACATTGTGGACCTAAGTAGACACAAGGCCTAAGCAGGCAGAGTAAACTTAAGCAGACACTGTTGGCCCTAAGCAGAAACTATAGGCCTAAGCAGGCAGAGTAGACCTAAGCAAACGGTGCAGACATCAGTAAGCAAATTATACCTTAAAAAATGAACAGGAGAGACCTAAGCAGGCGTAATAGAGGTGAGGAGGCAGGGTAGACCTAAGGGGTGAGAAGGGTGAAGGAATAAAGGGCTGAGTACTACGGTGGGCGGCCTGAGAGGGCAGGGTAGGGGATGGCTGGTCGGCGGTGTAGGTAGGTAGGTCTGTTTAACCCTTGAGGAACCACGACGGATATGGATCTGTCGGCAGCTTCCTAACGGTTTTTTATTATCTAATGGGAAAGGATGGTAGAAGATATTGCTTTTGGGGTAGACGCGGCCCGGGGAGACAGGCTGGCGACGACGGAGGTGATCACCACCACTTGGGTCATCATAACGTTTTATGAAGTCAAGTCTTGTGGCGGGAAGGTGGTGTCGTTGAAAAGGAAGTAAAAAAAAAAATAAAATAAAAATTTATATATATATATATATATATATATATATATAAATATATATATATATATATATATATATAAATATATATATATATATATATATATATATATATATATATATATATATATATATATATATATATATATATATATATATATATATATATATATATATATATATATATATATATATATATATATATATATATATATAAAGAGAAAAAACGATTGATTCTTATGTATGTATGTATCTATATACAGTATATGTGTCTGAGTAAAAAGCGGATACAGGAAGGATATCTCTAAATCCAAGATGAAAAATGGGTGTGCGAGCCCACGTGGTCAGCCCCATAATGTGCAGCGTTTTCCTGGTCACATCAAGACCACCAGAGTAAATAAAGCCCCAGTTGACGTAGGCCGCCCTTTAAATGCCAGCAGGATAAGACACTTATGGTACTATAGCCTAGGGGTGAGGTAGGCACACACCCCAGCCTTGAAGGTTACGTCTCTTGTTATGAAAAGGCTACCGTAAAAGTCTGCGAATGTTGCCAAATGCTCGGCGGAGTTTTTTTTTTTTTTTTTTTAAGCGGGTGTGATTTTTTTAAGTTTCTTTTTGGGGAGTTTTTTTCTCTCTAAAAAAAAGTTTGGTCACTATCACATGAGGAAATGAAAGTGTCGTATGTGAGTTAGCATGAGGTAGGATGGGCTAGGATGAGAGAGGGGAATAAAAAGTGTGAAGAGGAAGAGACGTGAGGAGGGAGGGAGGGTTAGGACAGCTGCTGCGATACGGTCCCTCTTGTTGACGTACCTGTCCATCCGAGCTCACAATTTTCTCACATAAATTATTGGCTAAAAAAGACTGCAACAATGGGTAATACCGCACATAAAGAAGAAATGTACAAAAGCAGCCAAAGCCCCGGCCCCCAGGAATCAAAAGAAAAGAGCACAAGAGAGGGGTCAAGCGTACGAAAGGGGGGAGGGAAGCTATGAAGGGCACCACCATTCATCCACAGATTGCAAATTAATTCATCTCTTTTAATATCCTTACCGATAAAAAAAAAAAAAAAAAAAAATATATATATATATATATATATATATATATATATATATATATATATATATATATATATATATATATATATATATATATATATATATATATATATATATATACATATATAACGGTGAATATAAACTCCAGAAAAAAAAATCAATCCTTTTTTTTCTTCCGTTTATACACAAGCAACGGTTGCTCATATGACCCCCGCCAGTGTCCTTCAGGCGGGCGGGACCTCCACGAAGGAAAGGAGCAGCCAGCCAGGGTGCAATAAGGCGGATTGATTAGGATTGAAAAGCAGCTTAGGGGCGGCCAGTTGCTTCAATGGCGGTGAATATGTGAGGCGGGAGAGGGGATGGATGGGCAGATTGTGTAGGCCGGCCCAGCCAGCCAGCCTTACTAGCCTCCTCCCTCCTAACACACACACACACACACGCACATCTGTGTTGGCTCCGGTCTTTACCAGTTGCTGACCAGTGTAGTTGATGTATAGTTTTCAGATACACATATAAATACAGAGGGAAACAGAAATACACACGCAAAAAATACATGCACACAAGTACGTGTTTGTGTGTATGTGTGTGTGTGAGTGCATCTAGTCCTTATCAACTGTTAATCGAATCCATGGTTTGCTATTCCACTGAAGACGGTCAGGAAGAATTATGAATTTTTAACAATTTGCACATCTAAAAAAAAATATTTATTTAACACGAATGATATTTAACCATCAGAGGGAGAACAACACAAGAAGAGGCGATAAAATAACATTATTAACTCTTGATACCCAGAGACATAAATAAACGGAAGCAAATTCGAGGTAGTTCTTGGTGACTCGAGTAATAACACCGACAAAAGTTACTCAAATACTTTATTACTCGCGAATAATGAGAAAACAACTGTGCTGTCAAAACCAATGACTCATATATTGTTTTTTTTGATAGCGAATGACATCTTGACAGTCTGTGGGCGTTATTAATAAACGTTATTTTCTGATTACACAAAGATTCTTCAAAATACTACAAACTACAGAACTTATGTCACTAAGTATTTTTCCTTTTCACGTCCGACAGAAACATCAACAAATAGAGTCATCCAGCGACCGCGTGACGTGTTGGTCCCTGAGGTGTGGTGGCCAGTCACACGACCCCCCTCCTCCCCCTCTCAGATATTCCCATATGGATTTCGGGGCTAAAAAAAATAGTTTTAAAAGAATGCTAAAAAATGTGAGTTCCCATGGAAAGGGTAGGTCCAGGGAGGGAGGGTGGGAGAGGGAATGAGACGAAGTAACAGGAAAGAGTGTGTGTCGTGATGTGGACACAAGGAAGGGTAGGCCTGGGAAGGGATGAGGTAGTGGAGTGGGCTCTTGGAAGGGTAGGAGGGCGGGTAGGGTATGGGTGTAGCGGAAGGGTAGGCCTAGGAGGGTATGGATGTAATGGAAGGGTATAAGTGAATTGAATTGAATTGTAACAGTGTAGTGGAAGGGTATGAGTGAAATGGAAGGGGAGTCATGAGAGGGTATGAGTGTAATGGAAGAGTAGTCATGGGGTAGAGGTGTAGTGGAAGAGTAGTCATGGAAGGGTACAGGTGTATTGGAAGGGTAGTCATGGCAGGTTAGAGGTGTAGTGGAAGGGTATCGGTGGAATGGAAGGGTATGAGTGTAATGGAAGGATAGTCATAGGAGGGTATAAGTGTAGTGGAAGGGTAGGCCTCTGGGGGGGGGGGGCTAAGTGTAGTACACCGGACAGAGGTATAGAGGGGCGTCAATGGGTAACTGGAGACCTGGAGCGAGATGTTCATTGTGACCTCTGGCCGGGACAGCTAAACACAGGCCCAGCGTGGCAGTTCAGGCGGACCCCGCGTTTGTCCGTCCTTGAGGGGGCGTGTGGGTAGAGGAGGAGAAGAGACAGAGATGAGAACAGGGTCAAGGAGGAAGAGAGAGAAGAATAAAGACAGAATGGGAGAGATGTTGACAGGGAAAGAAAGGCAGAGAGGTAGAGATAAAAAGTTACAAGGAGAGAAAGACTGACAAGAAGGAATATCAAAAGTAATTTCTTTCCTCTTACTCCTGAAGACTTAACATTGTCAAGGAGCTACGGAAGGAAGCAGGAGGGGCAGAGGAACATGGTGTAGGGGTCGTGGGAGGACTGGAAAAGGAAGAGGGAGGTGGTGGGTGACCAGGATAATCCCGTACACTGAATAGAGGGTCTGACACAGGTGGACATGATCACTGTCACGTGGAGATGCTGGAGGGGGAGGGGGAGGAAGGGGGAGGGAGGGAGGGGGGAGGTTATTAATGGAGGGATGTTGGGGGTAATGCTTGGGGGAGAGAATCATGGAGAGGGAGGAAGCTAAGGGAGGGGAGATCATATAATAGGAAGAAGCGACGGTGGAGTTGAGAGAGGTGAAGGGTGACGTTAGGGGTTGAGAGGGGAGTTGAATGACACTGGGGTTATGAGAGGGGTGACAGTAGGTGACACTGGGGTTATGAGAGGGGTGAGAGTAGGTGACGCTGGGGGGTTATGAGAGGGGTGATTTGGGAGGGGGTAGG